ATCGTAGCCTCCACCGAGGTCAAGATTATCAAAGACGATGGTACTGAGGGCAATGTTGGCGAAGATGGCGAAGTGCTGGCTCGTGGTCCGCAGGTCGTCATGGGCTATCTCAATAACGAGAAGGCTACTCGCGACACTTTCGATGCCGACGGTTTCCTCCATACCGGTGACCGAGGCGCTATCGATGAAGAGGGTATGATTCACATCTCTGATCGCATCAAAGAACTCATCAAAGTAAAGGGCATTGGTGTCGCGCCGGCTGAGCTCGAGGACTTGCTTCTAGGCCACCCGAAGGTCGAAGACGTTGCAGTGATGAGCGTGAAGGACGATTACTCTGGTGAGCTTCCGAAGGCTTATGTTGTCTTGAAGCCAGGAACGGAGGAGAGTACAGCTATAGGAAAGGAAATCATTGAGTATGTCAAGGAGAAGAAGGTGAGGTACAAATGGGTAAAGGAAGTGGAGTTCATCAGCGAGATACCGAAGAGTCCTTCTGGTAAAATACTAAGAAGAATTCTAAGGGACAAGGAGAAGAGTGGGAAATTTGGGCTTGTTGTCAAGGATGCGACAAGGGCAAGGCTTTGAAGACCGAAGACTGCGCCACAAGTAGTAAAGATAGGCTGGTTCTTCACGTTGTAGTATAATACAACACAAAGCAAACGGTACCGTTTTTCTATATCTTTGGAAGTCGTGACGTTTGGTTATACCGCAAAGGAGATGGTGGTGGTGAAGATGACAAATGACGTGTGAGGGGTCGGCGTTGTGCCCCTCCGACGGGGTTTTGGGCAAAAAAAGTTCCTCCCGAAGGTGCAATTCGACATTTCTAAGCAATACACTACGAGGACTCATATAACATCGCGCATACTGCAGTGCGCATTTTGTACACGTCCTGTACCTACTATTCCCCCTGCAAAAATCGTTATCGAGCAAGCCCACAACATGTCAAGCACAAACCCCACGTCGAACCAGCCTCAACACGACGAGGACGACATCGATGTACACGATGTAGACAACACACTTGATGCCGAGGAGGCCGACGAAATCGTAGAGGACGATGGCGACGTTCCCATGGACTCAGACGACGAAGGCGACGAGGGTCGTCAAGAAATGCAGATGGAGATCAACTTACAAAACGACTCGGTCGCGCATTTTGACCAACACAAGGACAGCATCTTCTGCATAGCGCAACATCCAGTGCACCACGAGATCATTGCCACAGGAGGCGGCGACGATGTCGGCTACATTATCGACGTGTCTTCGGCGGCAGCAGTGCAACCGAGCAGCGACGGACAACCCACCGAGCGCGACGGCCTGAAGAGCATCTTCACACTAGACGGACACAAGGACTCGGTCAACGCCATTACATTCACTCAGCCAAAGGGACAATTCGTAGCGACAGCTGGCCTGGACGGCAAATTGCGTGTTTGGCAGGGCGTTCCTGACGGCAAGAAGTGGAAGTTCCTAGCAGAGGCGCAGGAGGTTGAGGAGATCAACTGGGTCGCCCCGAACCCGTCGCCCGACCACCCCAACGTTATTGCGCTTGGCGCGAACGACGGCTCGGTATGGGTGTACCAGATCAGCACAGAGAAGAACAACGAGCTACAGGTGCTACAAGCTTACTACCTCCACACTGAGACCTGCACTGCCGGCACATGGTCGCCCGACGGTTCCCTCCTCGCTACCATCTCCGAAGACTCGAGTCTGTACGTGTGGGATGTATTCGGCGATGCTGCCTCCCAGGGTCTCACAGCGACTACCGACTCGCAAGCTGTGGTTGGTCTGACAGGCCTAGACGAGCGTTTCCGTGTTGAGGGCGGACTATACTCTGTCGGCATCCCGCCATCTGGCGCATTCGTCGCAGTCGGTGGCCCCGAAGGTCAAATCCGAATCGTCGGTCTACCGCGCCTTTCCCTCGCCGCGCCCGCCCAAGCATCAACATCGTCGAGTGGTGGAGGCGCAAAGAATAAAGCTGGCGGAGGCAAGCAGGCTGGTGCCAAGGGCGGTGCGTCATCAGCCGGTCAAGCTGGACAGATCCTGGCCAGTCTCCAGGCAGGAAGCGACAACGTCGAGTGCATGAGCTTCTCGTCCGCGCCCCTCACCCTCATGGCCGCCGGCAACGTCGACGGCTCCATCACCCTCTTCGACACCGCACATCGCTTTGCCGTCCGAAGGCGGATAGAAGATGCGCACGCCGACGAAGAGTCCCCACAGGCTGTTGTCAAGCTCGAGTTTGTCGCCAAGGAAGGTCCAGGAGGTTGGTTGCTGACGAGCGCGGGATACGACGGTGTCCTGAAGCGATGGGATGCACGAGGCGGAACAGCTGCGGCTGGAAAGGGCCTCGTGGGCGAATGGAAGGGACACAGGGGAGGCGGTGAAGGAGGAGGTATCATGGCCTTTGTACAAGGAGCTGGTGAGGCAGTTGTCACAGCTGGCGACGACCACGTCGCGCTAGTCTTCAAGACGCCCATCTCACAGTAGACACTTTTCCAGCTCAATGTTCAGGAAACACTATCTGACCTGGTATACACGAACATCTCACTCACCCATACCGTTCCGTGTGCACGTTATCGGTTCCTGGCTACCACATACAACACAACGCCGAAAACCCGAATCAAACAAGTATGAAACCACCTACCCAAGCACGACCGAACAATCTCACAAACACGTCTGTATGGCCCCGGGTAACGCCTCCACTACCATCAACACTCTTTCCATAAGTTGCTTCATCTGGTAGGTACTATTGGTAGCGGATATAGCTTGCTGGCGGTCGTGTTCTAGATGTGCTACACGCTACGGGGCAATGCAGGGCGTATGTGTGGGGGAGAGGGGGGAGTTTGAGCCATGGAAAGCCTGTGAGAGTACGGATGTGCGTTACTAAAAGAATGGATATCCACGTCTTGCACTACATGAACGCACTAAGGGAGAGGTGGGAAGTTTGAGAGAGCTGGTTGTGAGGGGCAATTAGATAGACTAAAATGGTACATTCAATTACACTAACAGTTTCGGTATCTGTACAACTTCGAGTGCTTGGGCAGGACTACGTGTGGATACCTCGCCATATCGACTTGACTTTTTTCGTCCATAATACAAGGGGACACAGCAATGCCCAATAACAACTCAACATTCTCTCTCGTAGATAAGATTGTCAACCCAATCTATTCATGAAACCAAAAACACGGCAAGTCGTCGTACATCACGGGTGCAGTACCCGTCTTCCCTCCTTCGCTTAGGCATCTGGAGAAGGAATGGATCGTCCAACGGCACATGTGATGCGCGGCACAAACGTCCGCCGCGAATCCCGTACAGAGGAGCAACAATGAACCCTGGAACATGTTGTCTAGACCAGCAACGCCACTCTGTCGCGGATGTAGCTACTGTGAGCGTAGTAAACAAATAAAAAAGGCTTTTCTGTTAGGGCAGTTTTTCGTAGGATACGGGCAGTTGAGTTTGGTAATGCCTTCCAAAAACAGAGGCACCGTCATCTCGCTTCCCCTTCCCCTGCTACACATGTCGTTCTCAAACGAGAGATCTCCGCGGCAACCTCATCCGCCGAACCTTTTTTCTTTCCAAACCAGAAAATCCTCTTTCGGACCGAAACGAGGAGCATTACGCGAGATAGGAGAATGGGGTGATATGACGCAATAGCAAGACCCCGTTGTCTCTGTCTCCAACGTGTCCGATGCACGAGGGGCCAGAGACCAGGAAAAGATGCGGAATTCTGAGCACGCTAACCCAGGGCGAGGCAGTGGCGATTATCCCGGACATCATGCCCGTTGAGCAAATTTGAAGATCGCTAGGCGATAAAAGCAATTTCTCCGTAACTAATGGAGGATCACTCAGCAGGAAACTTTGTGCAGTTGTTGGTACTGGCGGAGACGAGCTGAGGCTTTCGTCATAGCTGAATGTATGGTTCACCTTTCGCTACCATACGAGAACACTACAGACCAATTGCGTTTTGAGATGAGCACACAAAGTTCAACTTCATATATGTGCATGAATGGTTTGTTCCTACAGCATACTCCTAGGAAACTTCCGCGATCGAGCATATGGCTCACCGGTATGTATCTATGACATGTACCTGGCAGTCTCCCCCGTTGAACCTCCACTATATTGTGAATATCTGCCGCTCGCTCTCGGCATTAGACATCATTCTTGTGGAGCTAGAGAAGTCAGATAGGTTCACCATGTACTATGGACTCGGGTTCTCTGTGGGGTATAGATTGCTAGTTTAGGTGCATGTATGTCCGGCATGAACGGGGCTGCCGCGCGGGACAAAGGACCGTTGTAGAAGGCCCGAATCAGCCTGTGGTACGCAACGCATACTAACGCTGACAGCAATGAGGTACGCGAAAAGTTGGTTTCTTGAACAGTGTTGGACTTCGTGTGCTCCGGAGAGACCTTCCGGGAGCCAATAAGAGTGGTCGTTTGATACGTCATTCCTGGTTGCGGCTGACTTGACGTGTGACAAGAAGTGGGGACTGCTAGACGTAGCGGGTAAGCGAGGCGCGATCAGAACGACAGGTCGTGGGGCAATAGGATGCGTGTTGTTGGGACCTGGATCGGTCAGGATGGCCAGGGAGGAATTGCAGACCATCACACCACAAGGAAGACAGTATGTTGATCAAGGTACTCGTTGATGTATAGCCAACTACTTGAGAGAGATGTCTAGGTAATGATCCCTCCACATTTTGCTTTATTATGTGTAAACAGTAAACTCGTAGGCGGTGAAATATCTATCCCACCTCTCGTTCAAACGCCATGTCATCAGTCGTGGCTACTGCAGCTCAAACTAGCTGGTCATTGCAGCAAATGCAATAAAGAAAAGAAGAAGAAGCTTTTAGTTGCTCAAAGTAGGGCAAGGCCCAGGGGTATCGTGAAGTGATTGGAAGAAGTGAGGAAAACTTGCAACCCAACAATCTACACTCAGTATCGAAGAAGTCAGGGTGGTGTGGGATGCGTTAACAATAAAAGGCCTTGAATGCGAGAATGCTCAAGTTGGCTTCCTATGCCTCCAAATCATCCATGTCTTCATCAGTAAAGTCCTTGAGGAGTTCGAGGCCGCCAAAGTCATCGGCGTCACCGGAACTCATGGATCCCATACTGGTCTCCCGGACATGTTGGTGAGTGGTGCTGGGGGAAGCCATGACGGGGCTGTGATTGCTGTTGTTGAGTCGTGGGTTGGCGTGGTGGCCAGGCATACCAGGTGCAGGTGCATCCATACCGAGAAGGCCGCCAGCACATCTCGCTAGGTACTCGTCGATGGCCCAGAAGCCACAGCCAGCGTGGGCCAGTACTTCGTTCTTAAGATCAAGGACTTCCTCACGTAAGAGAGCGACATTCTCCTTGAGCATCTTGTTCTTTGCAGAGAATTCGCGTGCGCGGCCTTCGAGGCTGTTGATGTACTCCTTCTTGCGCTGCCTGCACTTGTGAGCGGCGACACGGTTCTTCTCGAGATGGGTCTGTCGGGCAGAAGAGACTTGGAAGGGATAGCCGTCTGCAGTGTAGGCCTCAATCATCTGAGGTTGCGACTTGGGCCTGCCCCGCTTGCGCTTCGGCGGCTGGGGGTTCCCGTCGGCATTGTCTTGGTGTTGCGGGACGGCGGCGCTAGGCAGTTCACCGGCAACCATGTCCTGATTGGCCGAATCATGGCGACTAGGGCGTTGTCGCTTTGCGGGCGACATGTGTGGCGAGGGTTCTTGCTTGGGCCTCAGAGCGGTCTCATTCCGCAATTCGTCGACAGGAATTGAGCCTTCGCGATCTTCGCGATTGGGTTGAACTGGGGAGTGTTCTTCTGGCGGGGTGACTTGACCATAGCGCTCCATTGTGGCGTGTGTAAGCAGGGAAGGTGGAATGGAGAAGGGCTGCTGGGGCGGCATAGAGGTGGGATTGCTGAAGGCAGTCGCCCACTTGGCTGGCTGTGGGCTTGCGTTGGACTGTTGCATGGCAGTGAAAGCATCGCCAGCCCAGTCGAATGAATATGACTGTTGGATTGCTGTCATGGTGGATGGCGGTGTGTGTTGCTGCTGTGAAGTGATGGTGATGGTGTGGTGTGGTGTGGTGGGGGAATGTATCGTGCAGCCTGAGGCTGGGGCCTTGTTATAAGTAAGAGGGTAGGCAATTGCAGAGCGGAGAAAAGGACCGAGAAAGGGTAGATGAACGTTGGTTTCGAAGGAGCAGATTTGGGCAAAGCGGATGGGGACGGGGAGGTTAAAAGTACCGCAGAGGGAAGATCGCCTGGCATGGGAATTCAAACAATGGGGGCTTTGGCAACATGCGGAACTGAGGAAAGCGATTTGGACGAGCAGGGGCAGGGACAGGGGGTCATGCGATTGGTGTGTAGCGCGCCGAGTTACGTAGTGCGCCTTCCAGATCGACGATGTGTAGGGTAATCGTGGCCCAGCCCACGCCAGTATGGGAAACGCAGGCTTGGATCTCGATCCTTTTGTCGCAGCCTGCAAAGCTTTCCCATCTATCGATTTGCACTCCGTGCTGACTTTACTGTCTTTTGGATATGCGCTTGTAGTGATGTTGTATCCATGCCTGCTGGTGGTCCCGCTTGTTCTCCAGGTGGCTGGCTTCAGTCCTCTCCCGACGCCGTCGAAAAACCAGACAGGCCAAGGTGCGGATTATTCCCGGTCATAGATGGCTCTGCCCCGAATATCTGTCTGCATAGTTTGCTAAGTTGCTAGAGAGTTTGCGCAGCCCCGGGCAGCTATCCCGAATCGTTCCCACAGCACAAGACTGGGCCAATGACGATGACGTTCCAACGGCTCGCTCCGCGGGACAGGTCGACGGTCAACCGTCACGCTATGGCTCCACATTAACCGTCCATGGCCATCTTCATGGAAACTCGCTCCTCGCCAATCAGCGCGACATCTACCTGCTGCTCCACCTCAGCTTGAACCTCGCGAGAGCTGAACGAACATTGTATCGAACACCATGCTAATCAAGCGTTCCCAACTCCAACTCTCAATCACAGACGCCTTCTGCGCTCATCCTTCCGCATAGGTGCTAGCAGGTACCGGGGTTGCCAGTTAGCCAAAACTAACACATAATACGTAGCGCACAACAACAACAGGCCGCAGTACTTTGCCTCCAATACGCTTGCATGCATTCTGTCGATCACTAGGAGTAAGCCCGGACAAGGTTCGCCGCCTCCGATGCAGAAATCGAGACATGGATGGAAGTGCATGGAAAAGCCGTCTACTCGCCATGGGGAAGTTGCAAATTGCCATGTTTTGCTTTGAAATCCGATCAGACCCCGCCCCAACCAAGCCATTTTTGCATCATCGTACATTAGCTCCATGTTCCACCTAGATGCCGCTTCACTCATCACCCTGCAAATTGACGTATCATGCTCGGAGTACGCTCGCTTCATGCCTTTTCCTACCTATGCAGTTGACCACGCGGAAAATATCTCGTAGCACTTCACCGCAGCCTGTAGAAAGCCGTTATTGTGGTTCCCAGCCTCTTCCGTTCCCCACATAAAAGAGTTTTACGAAACTGGTCCTTTGTCTATCGTATTTGCCCTTCGGGTAAATATGCCGTCGGCGGACACGCCGCGTCTGAGTGCCCGGGCAAACTGCGAAGTGGCATTTTTTGTACTTCGTAGTACCCTTCCTGGCATGCCCCGCTGTCACTTCCATGCTGCTGAACCCTAATTGCAGACTGGGGAATTGTGGGTACCGTACCTAACTTTAGGGCTGCCCAAATCATTACCAGAGCTGACATTGGATAGTGGGCTTTTGATCAACGGCCCAAGAGTTTCCGCTCAACGTCGTACGCCGTTGCGCCGCGCCTAGTTATTGGCCGACTCTTGCTACGGTGTGATGCTTGCAGAAGCCATCGTATGGCGTGGGTTATTTGGATCTTCTGGAGGGATCGACCTCTGCAAGACAGTCCAAATTATGCAAGAACCATGGTCTATGGGCACGACAGTGTAGCTCGAAAGATGGGTATGAAACCTGTGCTGTGTCTGCAACAGAGCTGTGTAGACCTCTTCCAATTACTATATCGCCTTTATTCTTGTGGCCGCCTATGGAATGTTGCGTGGATGTTACACTGCCGTTGGATGTGGAAGATGAGCTATTTCAACGCTGGGATAGTACCATCCCAGAGTCGCAGAGGTATTCGATCTGAGACGAACAAGTGAAAGTGACAGGAAACCTTCTCAGTGAGTCGATAGATGATGAAGAGGTGACGATGAGACCACTTAAGCATAGAATGCTCATAATGTTCCTCGTCGCAATCATTTGGATCGAATACAGATGTCGATATCTGCACTCTACTTCTATGTAAGCCTAGCGCTAAGCCACACAGGCATGTCTGCTACAACGTTGGAGGTTTTCGTGACGACGTCACGTGGGGTGATTGATGCGCGGAAGACGATTGGGGTTAGCATATCTTGGCAGGAAAGCGCGACGCGCACCGCGTCGTCGGTGCAACAGAGGGCAAACACGAGCTCACCATCACCACCGCAACCCCGCTATGTCCTGAAGTTTCCCATCGCGATCGCATACACATACTATACGCGACCGCCAATTCCACCCGATCCGATCTCTCGCGCGCCGTGATCGCGCTCCACCGCCGCGATGGGATACATCAAGCAGATAACGATCCAGGGCTTCAAGAGCTACAAGGAGCAAATGCAAATCGAGCCTTTCTCGCCCAACTGCAATGTCGTCGTTGGTCGCAATGGATCTGGAAAGAGTAACTTCTTTGCCGCTGTGCGCTTCGTGCTGGGCGACGATTACCACAACTTGGGCCGTGAAGAGCGTCAGGCGCTGCTACACGAGGGATCTGGTTCAGCCGTCATGTCAGCATACGTGGAAGTATGCTTCGACAACACAGAGGACCGCTTCCAGACTGGCAAGCCCGAATTCTTCTTGCGCCGGACCATTGGCGCAAAGAAAGACGAGTACTCGGTCAACCGCAAGAATGCTACCAAATCCGAGGTCATGCAGATTCTTGAATCTGCTGGCTTTTCACGGTCAAACCCATACTATATCGTTCCGCAGGGTCGTGTTACGGCGCTCACCAACATGAAGGATTCTGAGCGCTTGAAATTGCTGAAAGAAATCTCCGGTTCCAATGTATACGAAGAGCGACGCGCAAACAGTTTGAAGCTACTAGCCGAAACAGAGAACAAATGTTCCAGCGTTGACGTTGTAATTGAATCCATCAACGGGCGTCTGAATGAGCTCGAGGGTGAGAAGGAGGAGTTGGAGGCGTGGAGCAGGAACGACAGGGAGCGCCGGTCGTTGATGTACGTACTGAAGTCGCGCGAAGAAGCCGATCTGGAGGCCTTGATCGAGAACATTGATCACCTCGAGAATCAGGGTCGTGAGATGAAAGAGAGCAACGAGGCAGCCTTTGTTCAAACCGAGGCCGACATTGCGCAAATCGACATGGACATCAACCGACGCAAAGGTGACCTAGACGTCCTTCGAGAGGATCGTGTGCAGTCTGAACAGGAACGCAAGTCGGCGACACTGGAAAAGGCCAAGATCGAGCTTGAGCTCAAGGCATTGCAGGACAACCAGTCAGTCACCCAGCGAACGAAGAAATCGCGGGACACGCAGATCAAGTCGCTCCAACAGCAAATACGCGCACGAGAGGCGGAGCTCAAACAGCTGCTTCCTCAATACACTGCCAAGAAGGAAGAGGAGGAAGCTGTCAGATCGCAATTGCTTGAAGCTGAGGGCCAACAGAAGCGGCTGGAGGAAAAGCAAGGTCGTACAGCATTCTACACGACCAAACGACAGCGAGATGACGCATTGCGTGCTCAGATTGAGGCTGCCAACGCCGACCTTAGCCGCCGCAAAGCCGTCCTCATGCAGACCAACGAGGAGATTACTCAGTTGGAGAGCGATGTCGAGCGTCTTGAGAGTGAGATTGCTGAACTCAGGTCAAACATCGAGAGCGAGGGAGACGCCAGTGTCAATCTTGCGGCCAAGGTTGAGCAAGCGAAAGACGCCTACAAAGCTGTACACGATGAGCAGACGAGTCTCTACCGAGAAGAAAACAGAGTCAACACTCAACTTACAAACTCACAAGCCGAGCTTCGGAAAGCGGAAAGTGCCTTCTCCCGGCTACTTGATCATGGCACAAGCCGCGGGCTGGAGTCTCTCCGTCGGTACCAAAAAGAAGGAGAACTGGAGGGAGTACATGGCACCATTGCAGACCTGCTCGATGTCAGCAACGACTACAGGGCCGTCACTGAAGCAGCAGCTGAGGGTGCACTCTTCAATGTTGTTGTAGATAACGACGAAGTGTCCACGAGGCTGATTGACAGGCTTATCAAGGACAAGGGTGGACGTATCACTTTTATTCCTCTCAACCGCATTCGGACTCATGACTTGGACCTTCCTGCGACCGGCGACATGCAGCCGCTGTTACCGAAGCTGAGGTATGATGAGAGGTTCGAGGATGCTTTCAGGCATGTATTCGGCAAGATCGTGGTCTGCCCTGACCTGACTGCCTGCAAGAAGAACGCAAAGCAATACAACGTTCGTGCGTATACTCTCGACGGAGATAACGCCTCACGGAAGGGACAGTACCGAGGTGGTTACCACGACATGTCTAAGTCAAAGATTCGGGCTTATCAAGCACTGGCCGAGATCCGCACTCAGCACGACGAGTTGCAGCAGCGGAAGCGGGACATTGCTATGGAACTCGAGCAAAAGCGTCAGCAGCTTACCGCAGCACTAAGCGAGGTTCGCAGACGGGAACACGAAAAGGACAAGGGCGAGAACAGCTACGCGCCCATGCGAGAAGAAGTACGCGTGAAGCAGAGGATTCTGCGAGATACCCAGGATAGCCTCGCGAGGAAACAGACAACCGCTTCGTCATTACAATCAACAATCAACCAGCTAGGCGCGCAACAGAGCGACTGGGAGGCGGAAATTGCTTCCAAGTTCGAGAAGGCGCTGTCAAACGATGAGGAGCAGATGTTGATCACGTTACGGAGCACCGTGCAAGACCTGAGACGGCAATTTGC